ATGGAAGGTTGAGTCAACCTTGAGCCTGGTGGGATTTGATTTGCCAAATTGCAGGCAGCTGGCTGTCAGCAGAAGTAGTCTGCAGTAACTGCACTCTAACCACTGTGCCACCGAGGCTCTCTATATAGGCCTATAAAATAGTGCTACGGGATATATTGAAGTTTGCAGCTTTTTGCCTTTTGGGGGTCCTAGTTTTAGAGAATCAGGATAATACTAACAAGGAAGTCTAATTAGCATTACTTGCTATAAAGTAAACAGTTACTATAGTTGCAGAATGAAGCACAATGACTAAATGCCACCATGTGCATATAACTAGTTTTCTTTAAAAAGTTAGTTTATTTAACTACTGTCTATGTTTTCTTCAACCATCTGTAGCAGGAAATCTAGATAGACCATATTTCTACTCAATGTATGATGGACAACACAATTTTTACCAGAAAAACAATACAATAGTTTTTCTTCCAATGTCAATCCTAGTGATCATAGAAATAGGAGGCTATGCTAGTAAAGAATCAAATGTTCCTTTGAGGAGGACAAAATCAACATTTTATTTAGAAGTATTTTTCTGAGTGTCCTTGGTGCTCTCTGAACTTGATTGTTTTCTTGCTGGCATTTCATTACCCAGACAAGGTAACATGGGTTGGGTAATGAAACATCTGTAACAAAACAACCAAGCTCAGAGAACACCATGAACCCCCTCCCCCCGCCCTCATTTCAATCTTGAGCTACAAATAGTCTCCTTTATTAGTATTTTTCTCTCCAGTTTTTATTTGGTTGTTGTTTCTTCTTTGAGTCAATTCTTCTACTACATCTTTGATTATATACCATTGCTAAATTTTATATACGAATTCTCAAGGATGATATTCTTTAGGACAGTGTTCTGTTTATGCCAATAACCCTGAATATGTAATCCAGCCCCTGTTATTGTTTCTTAATAATAAGAATAATGTTCCTTTATTCTGCAAAGGTGAAGTCTTTCTTAGATTGATCTAGTGGCTTAGAATATACTCTTAAGAATTTTTTTTTATTTTTTTTTAGAAAAATGCATTTAGAAGGGTAGCTAGAAAACTACAGAGCCAAAATGCAATGGTTTGCTCAATGATCTGTTTAGAATCAGGGGTCCCAAACCTTTTGGAACTCAGGGTCCACCAAACTCATAATTTTAAAACCTGAGGACCACTAATATGAATTTTGACTGATGGTGGCTTGCTGACGTTGGTGGGAGAGAGAGGGAGAGGGAGAGAGAGAGAGAGAGAATGATCTGATCTAACCTCTCTCCCTACCTCCCTACCTCTCTCTCTCTCTCTCTCTCACTCACACACACACACAAATTTCTTAACAACCTGTTCTGTGGGCATGGCCCAATTTGTGGGTGTGCATGGCCCAATTTGTGGGTGTTGCTTGATGGTCATGTGACTGGCTGGGAATGGCTTGTATGTAAATATTATAAATATTTATGTAAATATTGACTTTTTTATAAAAAAGAGCAACTTTTACTCAAAATCAGGCAAAGCAGGCAGGCAGATTGAGTTGCTCACAGAATCACAGATTCATTCAGAGATCTATCTTTCTGCCATCGGCTACCTGAGTCTGCACTGAATAATAGAAACTTCAGTCCTAAGGAAGGTTTGGCTCTGCTTAAAAGCAGAGCCGAAGATATAAAGATTAGCTAGAAAGCAAGAAATCCAATGGTTTCCTGCTTTCTAGCTAATCTAAATCTCCTGGCACAGCAGAACAGCTGGTGGTCGGAAAAAAAAAGGAAAAATAGCAACTTAGCAGTTAAGTTTGCCAGGTAAGGAGTAAGTGGGCGTGGAGGGTTCTCACAGGCCATGTGGGCAGCACAGCCTTGTGTTCCCGCACAGCCTAGATTAATTGCTTTGTGGGTTGCTCTGGGGGTGACATTTCTCTGCGGCCCACCAAAATTTTCTTGCAGGCCACCAGTGGGCCGCGGCCCAGCGATTGGCGACCACTGGTTTACATGAAGCATGTCATTAATCTTTGAGTTCTCCCTTCCCCATAGTTATTTTGTATTCTAGAATATAGTGTAGGTGTAACTTCAAATTTAAATTTATTTAAATCACAGATGAAGAATCTGCATTCCAAGTGTCACATTAGGTTCTCTAATTTCATTTTTGTGAATCCCCGAAGCACCTCCAAATCGCATCACAACCAGTTTGGTATAATGGCTAAGATGCTGACCTAGAAACCAGGGGACTGTTCTAGTCCCTTCTTAGACATGAAAGCCAACTGGGTAACTTGCTGCTAGTCACTGACTTTTAGCCCAACTCACCTCACAGAGTTGTTGTCAAGGGGAAAATAAGAGAAGGGAGGACTATTAGGTATGTTCACCATCTTGAGTTATTTATAAAAAAATAATGAAGATGGGATAATTAATTCAGTAAAATCCAAGCAATTCCTCATTCTCTGTGAAAAACCAAGCATTTCAGATCTGTTGCTGAAGTCATTGGGTAATTTTGCACAGCAATCTAAGCTACTTGTCTTCCATGCGGCTCCAGCTGTTCTTGTATCTGTCCCTAGTCCGGATTGCAGTGATTTTACAGTGAGGTGTGCTTGGTGTTCAATCCAGACTTTAACCTTTAGTGCCTTTGACTAGTTACTCACTTCCCTGAATGTTGAAGGGAAGGTAAACTTCACTGGCTGCACCTCCAGCCCAATCACATTTACCATCTCCTGCCAATTCCTTTCAGAGGTAGTTTTTTTCTTTTCCCAGATGTTTGCACAGTTGGATACCTTCATGCTCCCTTCTCACATTCTCTCACTTGAATTAATGCAGATCCTGGCTCCCCATCATTATGCTTTATTGTACACAGCGACATTGATGTTGTAATATTTAAAATAAAGGGAACATGGTCCCACACTCATTTGTTCTATTACGGTCTGTAAAATTGTGGAAGCAAGAAAGTGACGGTTAACTTCATAAAATGTGAACTTTGTAACTTCATTCTTATGTCTGTATGCTGACACTGAAGATTAGTAAGATTCATACAAGCAGGTAGAAACTAAAAGAGTGAGCCCTGAGGGAACTAATGTGTACTAGCAGAAGAGGGAGGGAAAACATGGTGGCCAGGAGACCTGACTGGATTCTATGACCCTTATAAACTATTATTTAGATCAACTAGGAAATCTGACCATATGAGAGTCTTCATCAACATGACCAGCTAAGAACATAGCATCCTGGTAGCCACAATGAATGCCATACATGGTAGTGACCAACCATCATGGGCGTGGATATGTCACTTGTTGGGTCTAATTAGAGCTGGCGAGGACATTAATCTGGAATGAAGCATAGTAAACCAATCACTTGGAAGAATTTATCATAGCCAGGGATAGAAAGCAGGCCCTTTGAAGGAGCACTTCAAAGTAGATAAAAGAGAAAACTTTATCGTGAGCTGGGAGTGGGTAGTGGATTATACTACCCATTGCTGCACTGGAAAAATAAGGGTAGGCCATACCAGTGGTGGAACATGAATAAAATATGGATCTGGCCTCTGGCCACTTTTTTGCCCACTCTACTTTCAAAAGATTAAAATAAAAAACCTGAAGTACAGCCACATGATTGCATTCCCAAAAGAAATCATCACACTGTCATGATTATGGGAATACAACAAATTGAATTTGTTTTTCTTCTTCTGCCTTAAAATAATGTGCATACATAAATGTGAATGTGTGAATTGGCCGGCCATTTCTTTCCTATACATTATATATTTTTGTCAAAGACATCAAACAAATATGTTGCTTTCACATGCAACAGACCTATGCCACCTTAGATATTGATGTTAGGTTCAGTGCATCCTCTGGATTGTTATTTTGGAGAAAGTTGGACTGGGGACTTTATTTGGGGGTGGGGAGGGGAATCCAGCCTTTGGTGCTGAAAAGTATTTAACCTCAAATCCACTAAGAATGATTGTGTGAAAAGCAATTACCCCACTTCAGCAGAAGAAAGTGACTTCTTCAATGTGGAGTAAGCCATTGTTCTACCATAAACGTTCTGCCTTTCAAGAATAAACTACATTCTCTTGAAAATTAGAAGCAATGCATGACCCACTAGTTCTCAGTTTTTCGACTAGACAGTGATTGTAATATTTTGGTGGATTAGAATGCTTTTTTTTTCAGTAGCTGATTTATGTATACTAAAACATGCTAATAGTTTGTTTTTCCACCAAAGTTGAAGGAAAAACTAAAATATGTTTAATTTATTGTACTTTTCAGACGCTGTTGGATTACCATGAAGCTCTGGATAATCGCATTAAGTTTAATGGGGGTTGCTTGTGATGTGCTATATTCTGAACTAGCATCATCTTCAACTGTTGGCTCTTGTGAAAGCTTGTGTTTTTGTGAAGAAAAAGACAGCATCTTAATTATAAGCTGTGAAGAAAGAGGCATCAAGGAGATATCCCAAGTACATGTTCCACCATCTCGGCCTTTCCAACTGAGTCTTTTAAACAATAGTTTGACTGTGTTACAGGTCAACGATTTTGCCAGCTTTATCAATGCTATCACATTGCACCTTGGATTTAATTACATTGTGGACATTGAACCAGGGGCATTTAATGGGCTAAGTCTCCTTAAACAACTCCATATCAACCACAATTATTTAGAAATACTTAAGGAAGACACTTTCCATGGACTGGAAAACCTGGAGTTCCTTCAAGCAGACAATAATTTCATCACAATAATTGAATCAAGTGCCTTCAGCAAGCTCAACAGGCTTAAGGTGCTTATTTTAAATGACAATGCCATTGAATTTCTTCCTCCCAACGTATTTCGCTTTGTTCCATTAACTCACCTGGATCTTCGAGGGAACCAACTACAAACACTACCTTATGTCGGTTTTTTAGAACACATTGGCCGAATCCTAGACCTTCAGCTAGAAGATAACAAATGGATCTGTAATTGTGACCTACTAGAGTTAAAGAGTTGGTTAGAAAACATGCCTCCTCAGTCCATAATAGGGGATGTTGTGTGCCACAACCCTCCCATTTTGAAAGGTAATATTTTAAGCAGATTAAAGACAGAGGCACTTTGTCCAACTCCACCCCCAAATGACCTTGATTCTCCATCAGGCTCGTTGCCTTTGGTGATTACAACATCAATAAGTGATAGTCATTTCTCAACCAAGGTGATACCTATTTTTAAAACCCCCACCAAGGAATCCAGTTTAACACCCCATGTTACAAAACCAGCTACTCTTCTTCCCGGAGTATATTGCCCTATACCTTGTCAATGCACCAGCAATATCCTTTCAGGGATTTTGATGCAATGTCAGGAACAAAACATTGAAAGCTTGTCAGATTTAGGTTCTCCTCCCCCCAATCCTAAAAAGTTGATTCTTGCTGGAAATATAATCCAGACATTACTGAAAGCAGATCTTGTGGGTTATGACAGTTTAGAGATGCTTCATTTGGGAAACAATCGTATTGAGATGTTAGAAGCAGGATCCTTTATAAATCTCACTGAATTGCAAAAATTATATCTCAATGGCAACCATCTCACTAAACTAAACCGTAATTTGTTTTTAGGTCTGCAGTGCCTTGAGTATTTGTACCTCGAATATAATGCCATCAAGGAGATTTTACCAGGTACTTTTAGTCCAATGCCAAAACTTAAAGTCCTGTACCTAAATAATAATCTCCTCCAAACTTTACCATCTCATATCTTTTCTGGAGTTCCATTAGCCAGGCTGAATTTGAAAACCAACCAGTTTTCCCATTTGCCCATAAAAAATCTCTTAGATGATCTAGATCTACTAGTACAAATTGAATTAGAAGACAACCCCTGGGATTGCACTTGTGATTCGGTCGGGCTACAACAATGGATACAAAAACTAAATAGGAATACAATGATGGGAGAAATTCTCTGTACCTCTCCAAGACATCTAGCTAAAAAGGAGCTGAAATCTCTGAACAGTGATATGTTATGTCCCATTTTAATGAACAGTCCAGCTCTCCCAACTCATCCTAGCTTCCTAATCATCACAACATCATCAACCACCACCAGTACGGCGGACACTATTCTGAGATCACTCACTGATGTTATCCCTCTCTCTGTTTTAATTCTGGGGCTCTTGATTGTGTTTATAACAATGATTTTCTGTGCGGCTGGCATTGTTGTTCTTGTTCTACATCGACAGAGGCGGCACAAAAAGAAACAAACAGAAGAACAAATGCGGGACAACAATCCAGTTCAGCTTCAATACAGCATGTATGGTCATAAAACAACACACCATACTACCGAACGTCCAGCCTCAACTTTGTATGAACAACGTATGATCAGCCCCATGGTTCAAGTTTATCGTAGCCCATCTTTCAACTCCAAATTTGCAGAGCATCAAGATGAAAGGAATGATAAGGAGGGGAACGATTGCAAACACCTTCGGCGAAGTCTCTTAGAGAAGGAGCACTCCTCTCCTCTTACTGGGGGTCCAAATGTCAAGTACAAAGCTACAGACCAATCAGCTGATTTTTTGTCCTTCCAGGACACAAGCTCATTGTATAGGAATATTCTTGAGAAGGAGCGAGAACTCCAACAATTGGGGATAACGGAGTATCTTCGAAAAAGCATCGCTCAGCTACATCCTGAGATGGAAGTACATTATCCAAGAGCTCATGAAGAATTAAAACTGATGGAGACACTTATGCTGTCCCGGCCAAGAAAAGTTTTACTAGAACAGACTAAAAATGAATATTTTGAGCTAAAGGCCAACCTGCATGCTGAACCTGACTACTTGGAGGTTTTGGAACAGCACACATGAAAGGAAATGCTACCTTTGAAGGCTTTGAATAAGAAACTCTTAGGCCTGTCTTATATTTGAGAACTTTGTAAATAAAAGTGCCTTATAATAATGTGTCACCAATCAGAACTTTAAGCACAGCAGTAATCTGAGTGAAAAGAAACTCTCAGGGATAACTGTGTGAAGCCATGGGAAAGTTTTCAGGCTATGTATATCTAACCCCCATTTTAAATGGGAACTTTGTATAACTGGATTTTGGGAAGAAATTCAGTTGGCTTGGCCATATTCCTCTAGGTGTGTATTGCAGTCCCTAATGTTTCTTTTTTTAAATTGTTGATTTTGCTAAACAGACTTTTAAAGCATTTGTATTTTTCGGTTCCCTTCTTATTTTTCCCATGAAGGCAATATTTAATTAAAAACCTACAAGGATCTACTTAGCCAGCTGCTAGAAAGTAAGAAACATTAGCTATGGATGAGTCCATATATATGAACAAATTCTACATGGAAGTAGTACGTAATAATTATAAAGGGAACTCTATGTTTTTGTTTCAAAAGAAAGAAAACATTTTTGAACTTCCAAGGACTGCAGTATTTAGGTACCTTTAATTTGGAATGTTGTTTATAAAAAAAAGGGGGGGGGGGTTGGAATGGGAAAGTGGTATATTATGCAGGAATTTAAAAGATATAATGGAAACCTTTTGTGACTTTCCCTCGATGGCATTTTTAATCACATTTTGGGACAATCTTCAATATAATGCTGCTACATAGACTCCTGTGCGACATTGGATTGACACTTGTACTTGGGAAGTTTGAAACGCTACTGAGAATTTAATGTAAATATATTAGTATATTGATGCACCCAATTTTTATTTTATTTTTTAACTGTATTTATATGATTGGCTCCCATAGTAATTTTTGATAACATCACTTTGCTGTGGCCAGTAAATTTCAGACTGCAAGCCAGACAAGAAATAAGTCATCAGAACTTGTTTCTGGCTGTGAACACTCTGTCTTTGCCATAATGACATGGCAAAAGAGCATTTCTCAGCCCTCCCCCACCCCCAAAAAATGTCTGGCTTAAACACAGTAGGTGAGTAAAATAAAGAAAAGTCACAAACCTAGGAAGTTGCATTGAGATTAATTATTGTAATCTTATGGGTACATGCTTAGATACATGTCTTTGCAACATTTGTGTGGGTATGCTAATGTTGCATACGTAGATGTCAGTGGCTAACCATGTAAAAGGTTAGCAACCTCTGCAGAACTCCACAGCTTGGTGTGTATAGAATTGTGGTCAAGTTTAAATACAATGATGTTCTTTGTCATACTTGATCTCATGTGTAAACACAGCTCACATTTAATAAGGCCTAATCTACAATCCAAACTTTGCTTCCAAGAAGAAGAAAATTGTCCAATCCAATTCTATTTCACAAGTCTGTCTCTGTGTTTTTAAACACAGATTTGCTGCACTCACAATTTAGATTGTGTGTGTGTGTGTGTGAGAGAGAGAGAGAGAGAGAGGGAGAGAGAGAGCAATAAAGTAAGCAGCACAGCAAATCTGTAGAGATCAATGGAATGTAGCACTAAAATGTTTAGAATTAAGGAGACAAGAAGCAGGACAAATTTATTTTACTATACAGTTTAGTTAGAATTATTTGTATTATTTATTCTGTACAATTTGTATCTTTTAAGTTTGAAATTACAATTATTATTCTTGGGTGCCTTTCAAGAAAATCAAAGAACTTAATCATAATAAATAAAATTGACAATAAAGGGATCCTTTTTTAAAAAAAAATGTTTTCTATTAATACTCCCTTTTTAATTTTCTCTCTCTCTCTCTCTCTTTTAAAGTTAGCTCTGCATGCATGAGTTCAGATCCATTCTGAAATCAAATTGGAGGCTTCTGTCTGTTGCTATGCATACAGAGGTGTCTTGTTCTGGGGGCAAGACAGCAGTTAAATACCAGTGCATGATTGAAAAAGTGCCAAAATGGTAATCTGACCTGCATTTCCCCTCCTGATTAAGTTACTCTTTTGTAAACCAGCCACCCTTTGATAAATATCTCATTGTACACTTTTGTGCTGAAAAATCAGAAGGAGCCTGATAGCATCTTCTCTTAGAGATCCCAATAATTACTAGTTGGGAAATGTCTATGTAAGTTATGACAGTCAGACTTATGAATGGCATCTACCATAAATAAATAATTTTAATAGTGTCCCTACTGATTGCTTACATAGTAACTTTGGCTTAGACATAAAGTATTGATTTTTGTAGAGAAAGTTCATCCCTGGAAAGAAAGACATTAACACCACATATTTCATTTATTTATCTGATGCAATACTACAGAAAGCAAACTATATCTTCATATCTGCTTGACTACTTATTTATGTTTGCACTGGATTTTTGTTAATCTATTCCAAATCAATATTTTCCTACTGATGCCTCCAAGAATATTGGACAACAACTCTCAGAATTATATGTGAGCAAAAGTTGGTCAAATATTAGACTCCAAACAATGATAAGGAATAGCATTAATTTAACTTCTTTTTTTTGGGGGGGGGGGGATTTCCTTGATCACAACCTTATTGTTTGGCTGAAATTTGTAAAGCTAAAGATTGGTGCATCAACAAGTCATAAATATATTTTGTTGTACCTTTTTGTAATGTCACTCTGCCATTGGCAACAAAAAGGCTGCTCTTGTTATGTTATTTCAATCATTTAAAAAAGCTAAAGATATTGGATGATTTGAAATAGGATTGAAAAGAGTAGGTCTTTGCATTTTTCACTCTGTAGCACCTCTGAAACACCTCCAAATTTTCTGAATCGGGAATTGTACCCGGGATTGTATTGTATATAGAGAAGTTGATGGCCTCATACTTACAACAAGAACATTCAGCAGATAGATGTGTACCATAACTATAAAGAGAAATTTAATATGTACTCTAGTGCAAACACACCAAATACACATGACACAAACTAAAATGGAAGCTAGTTTTCATTTTTTCAATTTTTTTTAATGCAGGTCCCCATTTAAAACAATGGGCACAAAAAAAATCCCACATATCGTTGGGAAAAATATATTTTCACATGCTATGAGCCCAAGCATATTTTGCAAGCCTAAAGCTTAGATATTTATTCACCTTTTGTTTTACATGACTTTCTCTTCCTTTTTTTTTTATGTACTGTAATTACAGGTGGGAGAATTTGACATATTTCTAATTTAAGATATTGGGTCAAGTGATCAAGTCTCAGTTTGCAAATGCTGCTGAAGATGTTTGTGCAAAAAAAGTTCTTGCATATAATTTTAATTAATATATCTGTTAGATTTATAGTCTTATCTTTTTCAGGAATTCAAGGTGGCATATATATATATATATCCAACTTTCCCCACTCTTTGAAGTAGATTCTACTGAGATAGTTACTAGTCCAAAGTCACCCACAGGACTGAGGTTAGGCTTAGAGCAGGATCTGCCTGTTCCTGGTCTAACACAACATACTTCTCCTGTTCCTTGAAATTCTGCTTTCGTGCAGAAGAGAAGTATCCTTTTTACCTCATTCTTGGAGGACTTCAAAATCATGGATTTGTACTTATTAAAGTTTTATTTGTTGTTCACAGATGGCAGAATTTGGGGATTAAGTTGTTCCTTTTTTGTTATGTGCCTCTTCTCCCTGATTGCTTCTGCTTCTGGATATGAAAAGGCCATATAGAAGCATTTCATTCCAGTTGTTCTCTTGAGGAATAATAGAAAAATGTGGTATCAGAGATTCTCATTTTTCTATTATATCCTAAGGGGCTGCTGGTAAAAAGATAGAAGAATTAGACAGGCTATGCGCTCTCATTCTTTAGTCATTTGATATGGGTGATAAGAAGGGACTCTTACCCTTCTTTGAGGAGTTTATTTTAATTTTTTTCTTCCTACTGAAAATATTTTTAAAAATCATTTCTTCTGTGGAATGAAAAACATCGAAATTGGGAGGGTTTTTTCCTGCATTGTACTGATTTATATCTATCTATCTATCTATCTGTCTGTCTGTCTGTCTGTCTGTCTGTCTGTCTGTCTGTCTATCTATCTATCTATCTATCTATCTATCTATCTATCTATCTATCTATCTATCTATCTATCTA